GACAAATTGTGGGATACAATGAAGGCCTTCTTCATCATATTTGCATTAAAAAGAATATGTATCAGCTTGAAGTTTGTTGCATAACTTAAGTCTATTTATCTAATTATCTTGGATGTGAACTTATAGTTGGTTCATATTGTTTGTAACTTGCATCCCAACAAAAGATTAAGAAAAGCAGGAACTAAAAGAAAGAGGAAAAAATAAATAAAATGCAATATGTCATTTGCATGATCTTTCCAATTCAAGTATCATAACAAAGGAGATGATTTTGATTAATCACTCTTTGAGTTATTTTTATTGCTACTCTAGGGTGTCATCATAACAATGGCTTAATAGCAATCGAAGATATGAATGAAGTCAACATCTAATACTTAATAGAAAAAGATTTCTTGAAACATAGCACAATTTTTAATTTTTGTAATGGAAGTTGAATAATATTTTGTTTTATTTTTTCCTAAATGAATGTGCATCATGGACATATATTTTTACTCCAATAATTACTTAGATATTATGAATAAGTAAAAATAGGTTAATTTGATAATATTGTATAGACAAGCTTCTTAGAAGCTTTATAGATCCAATTTCACCTTTATACATGTTTATAGGTGATTGATAGATTAGAAACTTGGCCAACAAGTTAACTACATGTTGTATATATTGATAGCTTGTAGTATAAGTTAACAATGTAACACACATATAAGAAACTTGCTTTGTAAATTAAAACAAGTGTCTTACAAATTAAACATGTATCAGAGGTTCTATAGAATGTCATCACATAGCTTTTAATTAGATAGTATATATGGAAGCAAGAGTGAAGCGTTCCTTATTCTTATCAATACCTTTTTTGTTCTTAGTCTAGTCTTAAGAGTCTGTATTCTTCTTGTCTTTAGCAATAGCCATTCTAGTCTTAATATTATAATACCTTAAAATAAATATTTATTCTTCTTGAGCTATATAAGAGTATTCTAGGATTCTTCTTGTTTTGATTCATATCTTTGACAATTTGAGAAGAATAAAGAATTGATTGTTCTTCTTTTGAGTTTTAAAAAAAATAGAATATTCTATCTTTATTATTGTATTTGAATGTTGCAAACTACTTACTTTTAAACCTTCATTCTTTATTTTTTAAATCTTGATTTTTTTCCTTAAAGAAAGCAAATCACCTCTTTTTGTAGAAATTTTCATTTGACATTAGAGGTTGCAGATTATCGTCTTCTAATTTGACTTATGGATTTATTAAATTTTTTGAAATGGAAGAAAAAATCATATATGCTACACTTGGCAGAAATAAGAATAGATTTGTAACTATCTATCAAGGTCATGAATCTGGAAGAAAGAAATCCTTAATATACTCTTGTGTTACTCAAAAAGACTAAGAAATTATTCAAAGATGGTAATATATTGAATTAGAATGGCTATTTCCAAAGACAAAAAGACTTGAAAGTCTTAAAATAAGACTAAGGACTTGAAAAGCATTGACAAGAATGAAGAATGCTTCACACTTATCTCCATATATACTCTTAACTACGAGCTATATGACAATGTTCTATAGGACCTCCAATACATTTTGACTTTGCTAGACACATGTCTTAACTTGCAAGACAAATTTTCTATGTATATGCCACATAATTAGCTTGTTCCTCAAGCTATTAACATGTGTAGTATATGATTAACTTCTTGATGAAGTTTCTAACCTACCAATCAACTATAAACAAGTATAAAGTCAAAACCACATCTAAATATAAAGCTTTTAAGAACCTTCTTTTGAAGATATTATGAAATATATATATATATATATATATATATAGTTACTTTTATTAAATTATATAGGTAATGATTGAAAAAAATACATATTTTCATGATATTATCTTCTCTTCTAAGAACAAGTTCTATGAGGAGCAGTCATCATCTTTTATAGAACTTGTTGTTCTTTATTTTGCTTTTAATGGATATCATTGATGAAAAGTCTTAATTCTCTTCGCTGCATTTACAAGATTTTTTGTTGGCTCTCATTTATATTTATTAATGTAATATCCATGCCAATGAACAAGATATTCTTATCTATTTTGGCGATGCTTTAAATCTAAGACTTCTTCCACTTTGAACTCTTGATTATTATCCATTTTTATAGGAATAGGTGGCATTTGTCTTTTTTTTGAGTTATCCACTATCTTATATGGTTCAAAATGAGATATATGGAATATGAGATGGATCTTCATAGACTTTGGTAGATATAATTAATAAGCAATATAATTATCTTATTCATAAATAAGAAAAGGTCTAAGCCTACAATGGTTCAATTTGTTACAATGACAAGTAGTCTTGATATTACTACAAAGTAACCATATTTTGTCATCTACGTTGAATTATTGTTGTTCTTTATAATAGGCATCCACATTGATCTTTTGTCATTCTTGAGCTTCCTTTAATTGCACCTTTATTGCCATATTTAGCTTTGATAAATAATTTACTAAATCTTCTACCACAGAATTATTAACTTTTAAAAAGTCAAAAATATCAAGTCATGAATGATAATCATAATTAGCAAAAAAAGATACTTATTATAGAGAAGAATATATTTAATTATTATACGTAAATTCTACTAATGGCAAAAAGGTTGTTCAATCATCTTGATGATAGTTGATGGTATATTTCAAATACTGCTCTAGAATTTAATTCATTCATTCCGTTTGCCTATCAGTTTACAAATGCAAAGCCAAAGAGAGCTTTATATCCATCTTTAAAATCTTCAAAAAAAATCTTTCAAAATTTAGATACAAATTGAATTTGTTTATCTAATATAATATCCTTGGATAATCCATGATAGTGATAGATGTTATCAAGAAAAAACTTAGCCATTTTTTCACTTGTAATAGATTTTGTATATAGTGAAAAATAAGCCATCTTAGTAAAATGATCTACTATCACGAATATAGAATCATACAAATATGAAACTAAAAGATCCGTGATAAAATTCATAAAAACAAAAGACTATGGTTGTTTTGGAATAGGTAATAGTTGAAGAAGTCCATAAGATTAGTGATGAGAAGTTTTGGATCTTAAATAAATATCACATGATTGTACAAAGTTTTTAATTGCCTTCCATATTTGAAGCCACCAAAAATCTCTAGATAGTAGCTCCAAAATCTTATTGTATCAAAAATGTTTGGCTACTAAAAAATCATGACAAGCTTGAAGAATACGTAATTGTGCTTTGCCTTTTAGAATGTATAATTATCTCTTGAAGTAAATAGATTATTATTAAAATTAAATTTAAAAAATATTATAAGACTTAAAATAATTATTTTTGGTATCATGAACAAGAAGATCAGAAGACATATTTGATTGAATTTGTTTGAGAAAGATTGAATCAACAATCAATGTTGATTTTATTTCTCAAAAATAAAAATGCTTTGGCTTCAAGAGATTCATTCTTTGTTGATCAAATGTTACATTTTTTTTCTTTTAGTAGAAGATAAGAATATCTAGAAATGACATCTAAAAAACCTTATTGTTTTTTTGGTCAATAAGTGATCTTGAAATCAAATCTTGATAAAGACATGCTCCAACAAGCTTAACAATAATTTAATATATGTATTGATATGAAGTACTCAAGGTTCTTGTGATCCATATATACAATGACTAGACTTGAGGCACTTTTAGATAATGATGCTATTCTTGAAATGAATCGATAACGGCAAGAAGCTCTTTGTTTTGGATTTCATACTTAATCTTAGCTCCTAAAAATTTCCTTGAATAAAGAATAACTAGATGGAATTTGTCATATACTTCTATTTTTAATAAAATTGCACCTATAGCAAAATTTCATGCATTTTTTTCTATAAAGAATGCTTTAAAAAAGTTGACACAATGGAAGATTGGTGCAAAAATAAATGTTGTTTTTAAGATTTTAAAAGATACTTTAGTATCTTTGTTCCATTCAAGATTGTCTTTATAGATCAGATGTGTAAGAAGAGCTGTAACTTGAAAAAAGTTCTTAATGAAGATTTAATAATAATTAGTAAATCCTAAAAAAATATTACACATCTTTGTTTATTTTGGAATCTTCTAATACAAGATAGTTTGAACTTTTTTAGAATCCATCATAAGGTTGTTGTTTGAAAGGATGTATCCTTAGAAGTCAACTTGAGTAGTATAAAATACACACTTACCTAGCTTGGCATATAATCTTACATCTCTTAGTTTTTGTAACACATGACAAACATAAATTTATATTTTTTTGTGTTCTTAGAATAGATTATGAT